TCATCTTCTTGATGACACTTGAATTATCAAACCCAGTCAACGACCATGGCTTAGGTATGATATGATCATTCTCTTGCATCTCGTCACTACTCTCAGTAGTATAATATGTATTGAGCTACTAATTTGCATCCAACTAATCACAGTTTAGTAGATAATGACATTTTACCTAACTTCAGAAAATAACCAGCTATATAATAGTTTCATTGGTTTTTTTTTGGTTGGTTTTGGTACGTCAAACTTCACAATTGGAAAAATTCGTCCTTTGAAAATTGACATATACCAAAATATTTTTTACTAATTTGCTGTTTGTTGACAATTCACGAGTTTTTAGTTTAAATAATGGAAATGATTTCAGACGTAGCTTCTCTTTATGTTCATCAATTTTTGTTTTTTTTGGGTGGAAGTGACAAGTTTGAATCTTTGCTACACTAAGCTAATTTCTTGATAACTAAAACTTCTGTATATGTCAAACAAGAAAGAAATAAATTAAAAGTCTATTNTGATTTCAAATACAATAAGGTGGCATTCATTAAATTAAATAGGAAATAGTATCACAAATATAAGGAATAGTTTATATAATTATTGGAAAAATGATATTTTCAACCTCCATATTCTCTCTCCCCCTCCTATATATTTCCTCTCCACAGTATCTTTTCTCCATTCACTTTCGAGTTCTTCTACTTTCCTACATTCAACAAAATCATTTCTCTTTTTTCCTCTGCAAAATCAAGAAAACCAACTTTCATAAATGGCTTCTTCCACAAGCTTCAAAATTTTCTTACTTTTAGCTCTTTTCACCACTTCATGCATAGCTCAATCCCCTGTTCCAGCACCTAAAATCTCGCCCACCGCTTCACCAACTCCGACACCGGCGCCGGCAATGTCGCCGCCGACTCCAACTCCGACCACCTCACCAACTCCAACCCTAGGACCTTCACCATCATCTCTCCCTGTTTCTCCATCTTCACCAACCCCCGCCCGACCTGGTGCTTCTCCGGCAGGTCAGCCCACCGCCGACGTCCCACCGGCACCTAACTCCGGTAACAGAGCCGTCTTTGGTGGAGCTGCATTTGCTGGAGCTCTCATTGTTGTTGCTTTGTTGTAGAGTCACGTGTCTAGCTGGGAAGAGAATCTGTACTTTTGATGGCCGGACGAGATTTGTTTAGTTGTTTGTAGTTTATTTAGGTTTTTATTGTGTCTATTATTTTGGTATATTGGTGATTTTTCACGTTGGATTGATTCATATTTGGGTGATACATGACTCTTTTGTATTGACATGTTTATTTATTTTGTATTGAATAATTACTCCATGTGGATTGAAATATGGAGGCGGATGTGTTTGACCAAAAAAAGCCTTGAACCCTTTTTGTTAAATTAATTATCAGAGATACAGAAGGTAAATCTTAGTCAAACATAATTAACTCTAGATCCAAATATATTGAGTACAAACATCGAAGAAGAACAATAATGTATAATATTTCTTAAGATAATTATCATTACATCAAATGTGGATGATAGGCGAGAGGGAAATGTTGATGACCAAGAGATTTCCCTTCCTGATTCCATAGTGATGACTATCGAAGGAATCTCTCCCCATATATATGTTGACAATTTTTCCTTTTATCCAATGGTCTTTGACCAGCGTACTTTCTTATGATTGTATTCTTCACCGCTCGTCCTAACAATACGCTTGTTTTGCGATATAAGCTTTCAGACGGTTTGATCCCAGCAATGTCCGATGTGTTCTTTGCTATCACGCCCCGTGGGTGTGATTACGGCTTGGTCGACCCCTTGTCATTCCATAAAATGCAACAACCACACTGGTCAGATTTTGACCTATACAGTTAGTCTCTCCGTCCGTCAGACTCGCCTCTTGGCGAGCTCAACGGGCGGATTCTGCCGATTCAAAAGTTAGAAGAAATCTGAACGTTATGGTTTGAACGAGATCCTTAAGATGAGGTGGCGACGTGACGCTTCAGTGGTATCATTGGACTGTTACGTCAGTTCGGAGCTGAATCATTGCATCGATTCGAGATATCATGGACACCCATTATGCATCATTATGGCACGTTTTCCAGGCACCGTATCGTTTCCCGTGCCCTTTCAGGTTTTTGATTGGCGACTCTTGGGTTTCCCGCTCAGGACATTTATGTTCCTATAAATAGGGGGAAGCCAGCATTCGATTGTTACGCTTTTTGATTCATCTGAGGAATTTTGCAAACTTCCACCTTCTTCAGTATTTCATACTTCTGATTTCATACTCCTGCTTTCGTTAGAATTTGACGTGACCATCTTCTCTTTTCCTTCATCACTGTTGTTTATTTCGATCAAGTTAGACAAACGTTGCCGGAAAATGACGTACCTCCTCTTGGAGAGGGAGTGGAGGTGACGAAAGATGAAGGAGTACCGACATCGGCTGAGATACTACCCCGCCCGGGGAAATTATGGACTGATTTTAACAACCCCGCCAGAGAAGAACCGGAACCTGTCCCTTCTACCATGGATGAAGTGGCGATTACGGCGCTCAAGACCAACTGGGGAATTCCAAACCATATCGAAATGGTGCTGGCGATGAGGACGGACATTGTGCACTTGCACCGCCCAGGGTACTGCGCATTTTACGCGTATCCTTTTGTTGCCAAATATATGCTTTCACTCCCTTCTCTAGTGGTGGACTTCTGCCGCTTTTACGAAGTGTGCCCGACTCAGCTTTCACCATACGCGTACAAGCTCTTCCTCATGCTTCTCAAGTACGCGGAGCTCGCCGATCGAGGGATCACTTTGGGGCACATGCTTCATATTTTTTCCCCTCAATTTATTCGAGGCACGATGATCCACATGCATCATTGAGGAACCAAGAGTTTGGTGGTGAAGATGGACGATAAAGCTAATCGCCGCTTCTGGGAAAGCAATTTTTATGTGCGGACAGAGCATCTTGTGGCGGACCTGGCAGGGTTCCCTAAGACGTGGACTTCGCACGTAAGTTTTCGTTTGTTTATTTTGTGATTCCTCTCGAGGCGGTCACCGACCGTTCTTCTTTAGGTGGCATTACTGATGCCTTGTTTTCGCTTTCGCAGTCGAGAGACTGCCTCCCCCGCTAGTCGACGACATCCGTGAGTGGGTATACGCCATTCTTCCCCATATAGTGGGGGTTCGCGATTGGGTGTCCCTCTACGAGAGATATGGACGTAAGCCTCTCACTGGTGAGTCGGCCCGTTGTAGTTCTTTGTCCTTTGCCTTATAGTTTGATCTTGTCGTTGTATGACCGTCTTTCTTTGCTAGCAGGGAAGGTGCGAACGACGAGGGCTCCTCCGCTCGCATTCCATCAACCGACGCCTCCTACTCGGCCTGCGCCGAGGGCTACTTCCCGGCCTACATCGAGAACTACCCAATCTGCACCTGCGATCGAAGCCGTTTGCGCGGAGGCTACTTCTCAACCTGAGATTCCGACTTATACTGTGCGCTCAACGGGTGAATCTTCCCATGCTGATAGTGGAAAGGGCCCATCGAAGAGACGGCGAGTGGTGTTAGAAGTGGCTCCTCAAGCCGAAACATCTTCAAGGGGCGACCTTCCCTTGGCGGTGCCCGAAATTGACGGTGGTGCCAACCCGATCGCAGAGGCTACGCCTGTCATGAGCGACCAATAGACTAATGTGGAAGAGAGACGGAGTCCCGAGGCGGCCGTTGCTGTCTTGGAGACCCTTCGTCATCCAGGCCGAACCGCGCCTTTTCTTCCGCCGCAGAGAGGGGGAAAAGGTGTCGTGGTTGATGATTACGAGTCTGGTTCTGAACTCGATCCTGATGACATGAGGATGTTCGAGGAAGGTTTTACCTAAACTATGGTAAGAGCGGGTGGTCCTTCCCGAATACTCGAAATTCCATTGGACCTCAATCTTCTGCGAGACATGGTGGATTTCGTGCTGCAGTTCGACCTTCTATACTCTGCCGCAGAGAGCGGAGCTCTTAAGGACGTCAGTGACGCTGAATTGTCGCGTTGTGTGGTCGCGATGGGCCTGAGGGTAAGTTTCTTTTCCCTGTTCTTTTTTGTTTTTCTTTCTTGCGACCTTGGCTTTTATCAACTTTTTTCTTTGTTTTCAGTCTTACATGCTGGAGGTCGAGAGTGCTCGCAGGGCCGAGACTCGGGCCAAGATTTTTCTGCAGATGCTTGAAAAGTATCGGCGCTATCGCAACAAATGCCGTGAGATGCATGAGCGGCTCAGGGCGGGTACTGGCAATCAATCAATCGGGGAGGAGCTGGAGAAAAGGGATCAGGAGCTGATGCAGTCCATTCGCTGGTGTAGTAAGCTTGAGGAGCTGCTTCGTGCCAAGGACGAAGAACTTGAGTTGGGAAAGGGGGTCGCTGCAGAGTGCGAGCATCTTCAGGCGAAGGTGTTGTCGTTGCAAGCCGAACTCGATCAGAATGCCGCCAGGGTTGAAGCTTTGAGTGCAAAATGGATGGGGAAGTTGTGGAGCTGGAGAGAAAAGTAGCCGAGTTGGAAAATGTCGAGAACGCTCGGGCGTCGGCTTTAGCAAAAGCGGCAGCGTTGGAGGACACTATCTGCATCCTTCAATCTGAGCAGGAATCCGAGAGGGCAACGGCCACACTAAGGGAGGCGAGGCTCAAAGAACGCATTGGCGAGATTGATCGGGAGGCTTCGGGCCTAGGGGACCGGGTCTTGGCGCTTGAGGCTGAGAGGCCGCAGTTGTTGGCTCAAGTTAAATCTGCCTCTGCCGCCGTTCCTCGTCACTTGCATGAGCTTTGGGTCCATGCCGAGGCCTAACGAGGCACATACAAAGGTTTGTGGGAGGCGGGCAATATTTCTCAGGATGCTTATGAAGGAGTCCGGGCGAAGGCACGAGAGGCTCGTGTCAACTGCGGCTACAACCCTGCGACACCGGAGGCCGACGAGGACGCTGATGTTGAGGAGGAGTTTCTTGAAGACAATGATGGAGATAACGGCGGTGATGACGCTGAGTGAAAAGTTGTTGCTGCTTTAGTATTTTCTTTTTTTGTTCATTTTCGTCTTATTTTTGTTGGGCCCATTTTGGCCTTGTATAAGGTGCGGTTGTTGCGTACTTATATATAAATAAAAAAGTTGTTTCGCCTTTGTATATCCTTTGATTTTCTTTCCCTTCCCATTACTTGTTACATCTTTTTGTTTTGGCGTAGACCTTTGTATTTTTGTGTGGCGAGTCCCTGATTTTTCGATTTAGGAATCCGACCTTGACCGGATCAAGTAGGGTCTCGTCGCGTGAGTCCGAATGGAGTTGCTTCGGACTCGCACGTTCGGGCGAGATTGACTTCTGATTTGTCACTTTAGGCAGTATCATCCTTGATTCAAACGAGGTTGAATTCGGACCCGTTCTTTTGGTCAAAGTCATTTTTGACTTGAACATTCGAGTGGGATTAAGTTCAAACTGGCTGACTTAGGCGAAATTAATGTTTCATGTGTACTCGAGCGGGGCCGAACTTGGAATCGTCGTCTGGAGCGAGGCCCATTTCTGACTTTATTTGAACGAGTTAGAATTTGGAGTCGCTGTTTTCGGCAAAGTCGATTTCTGACTTATACTTGAACGATTTGGAACTTTTCCTTTTATTTGACTGTGGCCGCGACTGTAAAGGTGTTATTTCGAACGAGGTCGTATTGTGACCTAATTGTTTTGACAATGGCCGGTGGCTGTAAAGGTGTTATTTTGAGTAAGATCGAAATAGTAACCCATTTGATTCGGCGATGTCCAGTGGCCGTGAGGGTGTTATTTCGAACAAAGGTCGAAATGTTAACCCGTTGTAATTCGAGCGGCGTCGAATTCTTCTTTTGGCGATGGCCTTCGGCCGTAGGGGTGTTATTTCAAGTATGGTCGAAATGTTAACCCGTCGTAATTCGAGCGAGGTCGAAATCTTCTTTTGGCGATGGCCTTCGGCCGTAGGGGTGTTATTTCGAGTAAGGTCGAAATGTTAACCCGTTGTAATTCGAGCGGGGTCGAGTTCTTCTTTTGGCGATGGCCTGATATTTCGAGTAAGGTCGAAATGTTAATTTTATACCCCATTTTAACACATGTCAAATAGAGTACAACGTATTGGTGATTATTGAATTAATTATTAACTAAAGAGTCGCCACCTAACTATATTAAAAGGTGAGTTAGGGCACCTAAATTATCTATTGTCAACTTTGTAAGGTCTATTGAACATGAGAGATTGTAAGCTAAGGGTTCAATTAATCTTAAAGAGAAGGTATTAGGCACTCCTTAAGATCCATATTAAAATGGTTTACCAACCGGACTTAAGATTAATTAAAGCTAAATATTTAGAATTATCCAAAGTCCATGTGTTTAG